AAGAGCGGTATCAGCTGTTCAGTTAAAAAATACTTCCATGTGCCTTCATCTTTTAAAAAATAATTTTGAACGATTCTAAGGGTCAGCATGATAGCAGTAATTCACTTGTACCAAATGATTCACAGTAGAAATTCATTGAATGGGCTTATTACTTTACCAGATACTTGTGGTTAAACACTTCTAAACAAGTAAAAACCTGTGAAGTGCGTTTATGGAAAAGGGTTATTCATACATCTCTAAAATCTTTTCACTGTAGTTTCCTTATTAATTTCTAGAATATGCAAACAAATTTCCCTCTCGCCAGTGTACAAACAGATTTTAGGTTAATTAGGAGTAGCATTTATTTATGTTGGTGAATCTCTAGCTATGTGTAAACTGAGATGGAGAGAAGAATAGCCAGCCTATTGCGATACGAAACATTCTCTGTGAACCGTGCCAAGTTGGAACCTTCAGCTCAAGGAAGTAGTATGTGCTGCAAGTTAGCAGGTGCATCCTGACCGTCTGCATGCTGCCAAGTACAGTAAAACTGAACCAGGCCCAACAAACTTAATGGGGAGGAGGGAAGGCTACAAGCTTTGAGAAACGCCAGGTATACAGCAAAGCTACACAACTTCCTGGGGAGGGAGGAAGAGATCAGTATTTATCAGCTATCCCAGGAAGAATACGTGTCAGCAGTATAGACCGTAGAAAACAGAGCGCACTGATAGTTTGGAGAAAATGGTTGTAATGTTAACAAACAGGCTGAATAAAGCTAAATCACTTCTGAATTTATAAATTTCTATGCAAGTTTACATTGCTTAGTATACCAACATTGAAAAGTACAGTGTTAGATTAGGCTTTTTAAGGGAGAACCTCAAACTAGTGAGACTTACGATGTAGCTTATAAAGCTATACCAAAAACCATTGTATTTGCAAAAAGCTGTCATTTGGTACTCCGTTTTTGTATGTGTATCAAGGGCTAAAACTAAACAGCTCAGAGTTGAAAGAGAAAGTGATAGTACAGATAGACACTACCTACTTTCTGTAGTTAGTTTCTTACATAGCTTAAAACTATGTGTATCTAATACTGAGACTCGGGTTCCTTCTTTTGTAGCTGCTTTTACTTTTTCTAAAAACAGCATCTTTCTTCACAATCTGCTTTTTGCTTCATAGCAGGCTGGGTTTTTTTGTTTTGTGTTTCCAGAAGTCTCTGTAAAAATCAGAGGTCTATAGTGTATCTAAGGAGTATGGTGAAAACAGTATCAAGACACTCTAAATGCTGCACAATGGTACTTTCTTGAGGGCAAAGCTGTTTACAGTCACCTCTCACTCCCCAAAGTCCACAACTTGTGATTTTTCTATATGAAAATGCAGTATGCAAGCACCTTCTGAACAGGGGCTAATAGAGTGCAATAGGTGGAAGCCCTGAAGCGAGACTTATCTGCTTAACGAGATATTCCTCAAACTGAAGAACAGATAGAACTAATGGTAGCTTCTTAAATATCTGATACTCTCAGCATAGCACATTAACTTCATAGTAAAAGTTCACTAATAATATGAGGATGTCTTCACATGGTTTCTTAACATAAAAGGTAAGACTGTATTGGACAGAACCTCAGTTGCCCTTTCTGAGATCTTCTAACAGTTAACTAGAGGTAAGCACTAAGATTGCTTAAGGTATTTTCTGCACTAAGGGCCTCTTGAAGATAGGATGGCTTAGGATGTATTCATACCTGTCTTCAGACAGGGAGAGAATTACATAATTTCTTGGTGCTCCTGCTGGTTTTAAGAAAGTAATTGGCAATTTACAGTGACAGATTATTCTTAGATTCAGCAGTAAACTGTCTGGAGTATTTGATGGTAATGTGTCTGCTAGTTGTGAACTGTTCTGGTACTCTGCAGTTCCACTCCTGTACTACTTTGCACTGTACCTGGAGCAGCTCATTTGTCCATGTGCTCTCTGCTCTTCCAGAGCTGGGCTTCACTCTCCTGGTTAAACAGCGATGTACTGCCAGATTCGGTTTACATGTGACTGAACGCTCTAGCATTCGTGTTCTAGCCTTGTGCCATACTGAGGTCCTGGATCTCTTTGTCTTCTGAAGGGAAAACGTCAGATACAAAAACTGTTAGCTTACTGAAGACCTGATAAATCTGGATTTGTTATATGGACTGCTTAAACCATGAAGACTCCGTGATTAAACAGGAACAACAAACTTATCTGCACCTCGAGTTCTCTTACCCTTGGGCAATTACCTTTCCCAACACTTTCCCATTTAATATTTTTCCCACTTGTTTAAGCCTTCTTTGGCTGATATGGAATGCTTAGTTTATACATCTGGGATCTTTTGTTTAATGATCATACTGAAACTTGTGATTGTTTACAAACGTGCACATCTGCCGTGCAGGAAATCTGCCTCTGTGTGCTGAACTCTCCTCCAGTGCTTCTTGTGACCAGCTGCAACCTTTTCTCAGCAGTAGATGCGCTCACTCTTTTGGCAAGATCGTACCAGTGGATGAGAAGATCTTTGGACAGCAGTGCTAATATATGAACTACAACGAGAGGGGAACATTTTCAGAAACATAATGTACAGTGTTTAGAGTGCAGCTGAGTGAAACTCTTGTGATCCTGGTAATTTTTCCGTCAGCTTCTGCACTGCTACCAAAAAAAAAAAAAACCAACCAACCAAACACCGCACTTCCTGGTTTATCGTGAAACAGTCAGTGAGCGAGCAACAAGTAAAACTGAAGAACCCTTGCAAGGAGAAAATGCCCCGATGAAATGTAAACATCTATTTTACCTCTGTATGAGGGAAGATTTGAAGTCCTATGCTGCACCTGTCCTCAAAAAGTACAAAATTCAGATTGTGTGACGAAGCAGGGAAAAGCTGTGAATAGTTTTATTTTCCATGTATTCTCTACTTGCTCCTTTTTTACTACTAATCCCCTCCTCATATGCATACATTACAAATGCATGTAAACAAAAATATTACCAAACCGTTAAGTTTTATAGTTCCTGTGCTTTGTACATTACTTCAGACTGCAACATTTGCAAGGTGGGGATTGTATTTCCTCTGTGTTTGCACAATTGCACATGGGGCTTTTGGCAACTAGTACATATAAGCCTTTTATTATTGGTTATTGTTATTAATAAAATTTAAGTGATTCATCATGACCCTTGAGATATCCGTATTGCATGAATTTAACAGATAAGGGGTAACTTTGTGATAACTTTTTCTGTTGTTTTTAACGCTATTATTGGTATATTTTCATTTGAGTGTCTTTATGCACAAGTAACATCCCAAGCGTTCAACTTCTACATAAAATAATCTTTGTAACTGACCTGCCCACAGGAAATATTATATGCAAATAGGTGCAGGAAAAGATTTGAGTTTAGTACTTACAGAGGAGATTATCAAGTTCTTAAAATACCTGATATCATCACACAAAGTGAAGAAAACAGACCTTGGCTGAACGATAGCTAATCCTTACAGCCACATCACTTATTTTTGGGAGGGGAAAAAAAAATATCTTTAAAAGAGCCACTGTATTCAGCTGCTGTAGCATGCTGGTTCTATTTTCAGTTTTCCTTCCGAAGAAAATGAGTCATGCGAGGCCACGCTGCCTGCCCATGTACGGCTGACGACTTTTGAACACATCGTCCAGGCAATGGATGAGGGGCAGAAACCTCACAGAGAGCTAGATGCCTACAATAGCAGCTGGGTGTAAGAGCGGTACCCCGTCAGGGTTTTCAGCGAGGGAAAGGCAAGCAGGACTCAAGGGCGAAAGGCCCCGGTCCGCCGCAGAGGCGATCCGGCGGGCGTGCAGCTCCAGACCTGCGGCGGCACGCAGCTCTTGCCCAGTTGGAAAGTCATCAGCCATGGGTGGAGGAGGACAGGAAACGGGGCTGTGGAATAGCTTAGGTGAAATTTAAATTCGTAAGACTTCATTAGTCCAGTTTCTTGCAGTCTGTGCTCTCCTTTCTTTCGGTTTGCATTACCAGACCGGGGGACAAGGAGGCTTTCCGTAACCTTATGGTGGCTGGAGGACTCCCAAAAGCAAAGCTAGAAATCATAAGCTAAGGATTTGCTCAACTTTCTTAAAAATTAATTATGCCAAGGGCGTTATCGAAACTCAGTAACGCAGACAACCACGCCACCAGCTCGAAGCGGTAAGTCCCTTCCCCGTGCTTTGGTCTGAAGTCAAAGAACGAAACAGCTCCTCGAAGCCAAAGCGAGGAGCTCTTCCCTTGGGCCATCCTTCTCTTCCCTCCTTCCCCTGCCCCGCAAGGTGCCACCGCGGCTTGAACCTTCCCAGCTCTCCGGCTTCCCCCTCCGTCCCCACCTGGGCTGCCCGGACCAGCCAAGACCGCGA